CAAAAAACAATTCATACATTCAGTTAAAAGTGGAAATAAAATCATTCTAGATAATGATTAAAGTATTGACAAAAGCACTCAGAATATAAAAATTATTCAAACAATTTCTACATAATTTATGTCCAGAAATCAATGTGAAACTTTTAATTAAGCATATGCAGTTGCACGAAATGTGGTTCTATCCTAAGAATATTGAGCACTTTATTCAAAACATGAGCACTAATCCAGATTGGAATTTAATTTCAGTATATATTGTGTGAATATATATACATATATATATATATGTAGGGAAATGATATATCTTTTTTATATATCAAGAATAATTTTAGAGTAAAAAGTAAAAAAAAAATTGTTATTGTGTTATACATTTTGTCCTTTAGCCTGATGAAGTCCTAAAGAATGAAACCCATCACACAAAAACGTTTTACACTTTGTCATACTTATTTCCCATAAAACATATATATAAACTATAAATATGTGTACTAAATATAAATATATACTAAATATAATATATATAACAAATATAAATATAATATATATACTAAATATAAATATAATTTATGTACTAAATATAAATATATACTAAATATAAATATAATATATATACTAAATATAAATATAATTTATGTACTAAATATATATATATACTAAATATAAATGTAATATATATAATAAATATACATATAATATATATAATAAATATAAAATATAAAAGTTTTTATATAAATATAAATGTAGGCACTCAAGGTAGAGAGTTAGTGAATGTAGTTGTTTTGTGAGTGGTAAGTGTAAAGGGTTCAGTTTAAGCAGATATCTGGGAAAGATAAAGGTTAACTCTATCCTTCAAGAGGTTAAGATTTTAATTGACAAGAAAACCTCTTGGGATTCATGTTCATAAAAGAACAGTTCTTTAGAAGAAGATATCAGAGTGGAGTTTACTTCTTACTAAAGGAATAGGAAAAGAAATGGTGTTCACCTCAATGTATGCAGTGTGTCAGGTCTTAGCTGGGAAGGTTACAGTTGAGGAAAGTAAAGTATTGTAGCTTATCTGAACATTTTCCATGGAAATAGCGATAGAGTTGCAAGGGGCTTGCAATGTTTTGTCTGTGGAAAAAGGGTTGGAAGGTGGAAAATGATTCATCATCCACAAGTCTGCGTAAGAGTTTTTGGCCTCTTTCAAGATTGGAATATGAAAATTAACAGCTCCAACCCAGAAATAGCAACAGTATTCCATCTTCAGTCTGATCTGGCTCCTGTAATGGTAGACCATAACAGAAGGAGTTAGGTGCTTACAGGAGCAGTACAGGGAACCAACCATTTTTATTTATTATCTTTAGTGATGGGTCATATTTACAAGTTTATATTATATTATAATATTACATGTATATAGATAGATAGCTTGATAGATAGATAGATAGATAGAGAGAGAAAGAAAGATCTTGAATTTCCTTTTGCATCTCTCTCTACATGATTTTAACCTTAAATTGACTATTATCAAAACAGATCCTCTTTGTATCCACTAAAAAAAATAATTTTTATTTATTCATCTAACTCACTAAAAATGCCAGGATATAAACAAAAACTCCTTTCCATTCTACAAGTAGTTCTTGATAATGACCAAGATTTTCAAAATCATCCAAGAGACCACCTATCTGCCTTCCATCATCATATCTGAGAGTAACTCATTGATCCTTTTCCAGCTAACATTCTCAGCCAACAAGAAGTAGAAAGACTATATTGAATTCATTGCTAGGTCAGCTCCTGAGAAAGTTGGTTCACTGTATCATGTGAGACAATTTTTCTCTCCAAAATTTATCTTATCTATAAATCTGCCATTCACCCATTCTGAGAATGTTGCTGCTATATATGGTTTGATGCTCTAGCAATATATTTAGAGATTCTTGATACAATCCAAAGAAGTATCTGCAATATTATGGGTCCTGACCTGGCATTTTGCCTTCAGTCACTTTCCCACTACCATAATGTAGCTTCCTTGTGCATTTTCTATAAATACATTTTATGGTAATTGTTCAGATGAGTTCTTTGCTATGGTACCTAGACTTTATGGATTTAAGCACAGTACTACATTAGCAACAAGGTCTCATTAATTTACAGTTGAATTGGCTAGACGTAACTAAGTTCTGTGCTAACAATTTCTTCTCTCACACTTCTTGCTTGTGGAACTCTCTTCCAGCTCCATGCTCTCCTGCTAACTTTGATCATTAAAAATTTAATTGCAATGTCAATCATTATCTACTGTCCTGATTATTCTTCTATTGTTCTTGCTCCTTAATAATGTTTCTGTAATCTAATTCTTTTACACTCAGTAACCACTTATGTCTTAGTAGATTTACTGCCTTGCTTGGAGTGAATTCAATTAAAAAAAGTACTTAATGTAAAACAGAAAAGAGGTATGAACTTTGGAGAGTTTATGCATAATGTTGATCTCAATGGGCAAGAACTTATTTGAAAATTGGAAAAATGCAATAAAAGATTAAACAAATAGACTTTATTGATTAAATGTAATACAGCTAGTTTCTTATTCTACAGTCTGAGCTGGGTAAATTGTTGCCATTTTATATATTTAATTTCATTCATGCTGGAAGCTCCAATATGAACATTTCAGAGTGTTGGGGTGTCAATTTGAGGACAGGTCAGAGGATTCAAAAAGAACTGGATCCACTCAACATCATGGTGTTTAGAGTGATCACTAGTGATGGCAACATTACACCTCCATTCATCTTCATTCATTATCTTCCCACAGGGCCTCAGACTCAATATGGAGGCCTACATCAAGTGCCTTGAGGGGGTAGCACTGCTCTGGGTCAAGAGGGTGGCTGCTGGTATTTGGCAACATGTCTCTGCACAATGCCACACAAGCAGGAGAACCCATTCATAGCTGTTGGACAATTTCTGCAACCACATTACCCTTTACATCTGGCCACCTAACTCCCCAAACTGCAACCCCTTTGATTATGATGTGTGCGGTGCATTTGAGTGATACACCAACAAAATTCCTTGTAACATCAAAGATGAACTGAAGGTAAGGATTATAGCAGCATTCATCAACTTAAACAAGAAGACCATCCAGAAGAGTTGCAGGAGATTCTGAAGTCATCTGGAGGCCGTGGTTGAAACCAATGGTGACTTTATTGAATAAATTTACTCTTTAGTATTTCAATATATTTTTGTGTAATTTTGGTAAATATATCTGTAAACATAAAATGTCAGCATTGATGGAATTTTTGTGTACCCTGGTGTACTAGTGAGCCAGCCAAAATGAGCTGACTCATTTTATAGTTCACCAATAAAAGGGTTAACCAATCAGAATGCTCAAAATATTCAATGCGACGTGTATAAAGACAGCCATATTTTTTTTCCGAATATGCACTGCCAGCCTTTGATATTGAAGACTGAAGAATTACTGAACAGCTGCTGGTGGTATTAGTGATATAGTCAGATTCAGTAAAATATCTGACTCGAGAGTATTAATCTTTAATGATGTTTCATTGAACAGATTACGTACTGCGCTGTATTCTATATTCATAGACTATGGTGAACATGGTCTACAAGCATTATTTTCATTTTGGCTTAATTTTGATGAAAATTTTTCTGTTGAACTCTTGCTTGTCGCTTTTTATCAATTTTTCTTCCTTCCCCACACCCAATTCCTCCATAAAAGTATTCTAACATATTGTTTATATATAGCAGTACTAGATTGGTGGCGAGATTAACCGTAAGTTCTTTAGTAATAGTTTCTTCTCTTGTGCTTCTTGCTTGTGAAAATCTCTTCCAGCCTGTTGCTTCCCAGTCAACTTTGATCTTCAAAAATTTAAATGTCATCTCAATCGTTATCTTCCGTCTTCTTTATTCCTGTCTTTTTATTGTTCCTGCTTCTTAATCCTGTATTTTATTTTTCTCATATTCTCTCACAGTCAGTAACCCCTTGCATCTTAGTGGCTTTATTGAACAGATATATATATATATATATATATATATATATATTTTTTTTTTAAAGCATTACGCCCCGAGCAAGGCGAGAAGCCACTAGGATGCAAGGGGTTACAGAAGATCAGATAGGAGTGATAGAAGAAAGGATGAGGAGAAGGATAGTGGATAGATCAAGGCAACTGGAGATGTCGATTGACATTACATTTGAATAGTTGGAGATTATAGCTCTCAGGGAAACAGTAATTGGGAAGGGTGTTCCACAGCCGAGAGGTGTGAGGTATGAAGCTATTGGAGTGGAAGAGACGGCTACATTTAAAAGTTTCTACAGTGAAAGGGTGAGAGCGGGATGCCAGCCTCATAGAGCGCTTGAATTCATGGAGTCTGGGAACCAGTGAAAGCAGCTGATCGGAGCAATTACCATGAATGTATTTGTAGAAAAGACAGAGAGAGGCAACGGCATGTCTGTGAGAGAGTGACTGTAGACAGGATGCCAGATATATATATATATATATATATATATATATGTGTGTGTGTGTGTGTGTGTGTGTGTGTGTGTGTGTGTGTGTGCAAATATGTGGATATAGATTCGACAGTATGAAGAAAAATATGGAAAAACAAAAATACGAAAAAAAAATATCCGAAACAACATTAAAACATCATACTTGCATATTCAGATTTTTGTTTTTCTATATTTTTCTTCATGTGTGTGTGTGTGTGTGTGTGTGTGTGTGTGTATGCTATAAATTTTATATTATTTCATATTCTTAAAATTAACATAATGTGCATATATCAGCCACAGATTCATATATTTACTTAAATGCTTAATTTAAAAAAAAATTTTTTTTTTAAATCTCTATCCTGAACCAGGATTTGAACTCTTGAATCCTTTATTTCAATTGTGGTATTGTTTCACTCTTATAACTTGACTAATATATAATTTTATCCCTTCATAATGCTTTGTCCAGCTGATAGGCTCACCCAGCCCGCTTGACTGACCATTAAATTGGTCATCAATCCCAACTAGTATTGGTCCTTTCCCTTCCGCTTAGTTAACCACGACATCATCGGCTGGTCAGCAAGATGACCACCTCATCAACATGCCCAGTGGAAGTGGTCATCCCTGGACTAACTGTCTTCATCTTTCTTCTCTTCTCTTTCACTTTCCATTCCAAGTACTTGATGGCAAAGTTTCAAGACTATCTTCCTGTCCCTATTTCTTGACCATTGTCCTTTCATGTCCAGATGCTCCTGCTTCCCAGCCTCATGACTCAGCGGGTGAGTGGGCAGGTGTGTTACAAGGGCTGTCCACCCAACCTAGCAATCTGGCAGGTCAGTCACAGTGACCAGTCATTGTAAGAAAATTTTACTTTCACTTTTGTTTGGTTTCTATGCTTGTCCATTTCCCTACCTCTTCTCTTGTCTCATTAATTTCTTTCTGAGTTTTACATGTTCTAATTAGTTTTAATACCTTGATTGATTGATTGGTCAGATCTGGAAATGGGAAAATTGCAAGAAAGGTGCACTCCCAATGGAAAATATGGACTTGCCCAAGAAAGATTCAGGGAGTTAGTAGGACATGAAATCTTACATAAATAAATAAATAAAAAAAAAGAATAAATTACATCAGTTCTTTGACATTTTCAGGTAACCATTCCAGCCTGACCCACTTTTAAACTTGAGATTAATTTGTCTTGTTTGGAATCATGATGAGGTTTATGACAATAGATACGCATGTGAGATTATACCAAACAAATCCAGAAAATGTTCTCTCAGATTATTTACACTATTTATATTCAGACGATTGTCTTCATCTTTGTTGTTATCACATTTTGGCCATTGCATCCTCCAGCTCTCACAGTGTATATATTGATCTGTATAGCCTACAGGGAATTCCAAATTGAAACCCTTTATTTAATCTATGGGGATAGACTGTTCTTATTCCACTGCCCATGTCTAGGGAAATCTTGTTTAGTTCTTATTTTTAGTATTGCTCAGTTATTGCTTATCCATTTCTATTGTGTCCAAATACACACTGCCTGACCCAGGGATTGAACTCACAATAACTATGTCACCAAGCAGACATTGGCAGTGGAACAAGAATGAGACAATTTTTCAGGAAAATAGGTTTTTCAAGTCCAGGAGCTCTTATGGTTCTTTCCAGGATTGATAGGAGTTTTCCTTCCTAATCTTTTGTTTGAAGTAGTGTGGAATGTCAACAACTTGATGATGTCATTATTTTCTCTTCAAGTTACATGTGCTCTCCATTTTAGTTGTTGCTGCTGTTATATATATATATATATATATATATATATATATATATATATATATATACAGGTAAAATGAGAACAAATGAAGTATAATTCCACTGTATGTAATATTTAATTTAAAAGCACACTCAATAGAGAGTAGAGCTAAATATTATTTATTATAGGAGATTAAAACAAACCTATATATATATATATATATATATATATATATATATATATATATATATATATATATATATCCAGGTAAAATGAGAACATATGAAGTATAATTTCACTGTATATATATAAAGAAATATAGTTTTAAGGTGTGCTATAATTATGGGATGAAGTGCTCAATATCAGAGATAGAGTGTATGTAAATATAAATATAAAAGTGAACACTGAAGTCAACACTTAGAGGCGACAGGCTGTTTCATGGTAGACGCCATCGTCAGGCGACAGGCTGTTTCATGCTAGACACAATCATCAGGTCTGATGATTGCATCTAGCATGAAACAGCCTGTAAATTACATATAAGAGAAATGGGTTATTTTTGAATTTCTCTTATATGTAATTTATTTATTTATTTATGTATGATATGCTCTGTTATAATAAATGCATTGTGATCAGTTTTAATATTTTATATCATTAGCATTCATTTATATTATTTAACTATGAATTTTTACCTCCGTGTGTGTGTGTATATATATATATATATATATATATATATATATATAATAACCACGATCATGGATCTGTCGAAAACCTATTCTAAATTCTTCTGAATTTCATGCCAACTTTGATCTTCAGACATTTATTATCAAGAAAACATTAGATTTGCTGTGGAACTCAAAATAATGGTTTCAATTTGGTGTCTCTAGATGGACTCTTGGCTGTTGTTTTTGTTTTTTTCATGGCGGTGGCTTTATTTTGGGTCCTACATCTGGTTTCTTAATTCTCTAAGGCATTGTGCAGTGTTGGTTTCTGTTAAGGTAGTTGTCCAATTCTTTTTTGCAAGCTCATTATGGCTAGCATTTGTTTTATGTACTTTCACTTTACATCTTGCATAGTTTATTCTATTTATTCAGATACATTTATGTGTATGTATGTAGGAAGTATAATATGTGTGTGTGTCTGTAGGATGTATAATGTGTCTGTGTGTCTGTAGGATGTATAATGTGTGTGTTCATATGTGTAAGATCTGTAATGTGTGTGTGTTTATCTGTAAGATGTATAGTGTGTGTGTTTGTAGGATGTATAATGTGTGTGTGTCTGTAGGATGTATAATGTGTGTGTGTGTGTATTTGTAGGATGTATAATGGGTATGTGCATGTATGCAAGATGTGTAATGTGTGTGTATGTGTGTCTGTAGGATGTATAGTGTGTGTGTATGTGTGTCTGTAGGATGTATAATGTGTGTGTGTGTATTTGTAGGATGTATAATGTGTATGTGCATGTGTGCAAGATGTGTAATGTGTGTGTCTGTAGGATGTATAGTGTGTGTGTCTGTGTCTTTAGGATGTATAATAGTATCTGAAACTGATATGAACACGATGAGACAAAGTTGAAAATTTATTAAAAACGTGTTTCACCAGAGCATTTTCTCTGTTTGGCTTCCTCCGGTTAGAATAAAAAAAAAAAGAAGCAAAACTGTGTGTGAGAGAAAAGTTTTTTTTTAAATCGGTATTATCCCATGCAAGGCAGTAAAGCCACTAAGACACTAGGGGTTACTGTGTGTGGAAGAATTAGGAATAGAAATATTAATAATGAGTGGGAAGAGAAAAGAGTCATCAGGAGGACAGTAGATAGTGATTGACTTTGCATTTAAATTTTTGCAGATTAAAGTTGGATGAAAAGCATGAAAGAGAGTTCCACAGGCGAGAAGTGTGTGAAAAGAAACTGTTAGCATAGAATTTACAGTTACATCTATCCAGTTCAATTGTAAATTGATGAGATCTCAATGCCAGTCTAGTACTGTGCTTAAATTGATAAAGTCTAGGTACCATAGCGAAGAGCTCCTCTAAATAATTACCATAAAAGTATTTATAGAAAAGACACAGAGAAGCAATGTTACAGTGGGAGGAAAGTGACTGAAGCTGAGCTGCCAGAACAGGGCCAATAATATTGCTGATTCTTCAGATCTTATCAAGGAACTCAAGGTAAATAGCAGGGGCATCAGACCCTATGTGGCAGCAATATTCTAAGCATGTCTTGGAATCTCTGAGTATAAGTAGTAATTATCAATCAAATTAAATTAGATACCTTATCACCTCCAATGTCCAGATACAAGAGAGGGTCTGTCTGCATGTTTGTTTGTTTTATCTATATGAGAGGCATATATAAAATTCTACTGAACGTAAATTGAGGGATTGGTTTTATATTATCATGAGATAATTAACTGATGCACAAAGAATTGCTATATAATAGGCTGTGCTGAAAATTTCCCAGCTTGGCCAAGTAGGTATTCAATCAGAAGGCAGATTTTGGGAAGTGCATTTGACTGAGAACTTTTTCACCACAATCTTTATATATGTCTACATGCTCTCACACGTGCACATACGTATATTATCAATGCTATCAAGAAAATTCATAGAATAAAATAGAGGCAGTTGTTAAGTACTGAAGCAAAAATAATTACCAGGTTCCTTTTCCTGAACCTGACTTGAATGAGAGCAGCCATATTAATTCACTATAGAATGACCCAAACCACCAATCAGGGTTGAACACTGGCCAATATTTCCAGTACTCTAATGAATTGTTTGGATTTTATAGAGACATGTGGAGAAACAGCTAGCTGTATTAACAAGATTAAGTAGAACCTTGCTCTTAGCTGAGTGGGTCGAACATTGGACAGAAAGTATAGAATCTGCTCTGTCAATAGGGGTTGAGAATACACTGCCTGAATCACCTGCAGAGAAATAAGACCCTACCAAAAAGGACTTCCTATTAAATAAATGCTTATCAAGTATAAAAATACTAATGACCATCATTAACCTATCCTCAAAGCAAGTGTATGCTTATATGCTCATATATAAATAACCAATATTTACCTATCCCCAAAGTAAATTATATTGTCATATATAAACATATAATTTTTACCTATTATGAACCAAGTATATTCTTGTAGAATCAAATATGACCAACAAAGTTTTATAGAAAATGGAAACAAGAAGGACATTTATATTTACATCAGAAAGAAACTGTTGAAAAAATAGATCTGTTAAAATGAGATATCAATGTTATTTTCATTTTTGTGTAATTTAGATGACAATTTATCCATTGCACCCTGTATATATGATGAAAATATATATATAAATTATCATTATGTTCATCTGTGAGTTGATTGTCCAGTATGCCCTGTCATATAGGAAGACTGATATGGCATAACAGTTCAATATTCTTTTCTTTGTTTCTAATGAAATTTGCATTAGTCTTAATACTTTGCATATTTTCTGGCAGGTATTTTTTGATGTTCCTATGCACCTTTGGATTTCTGCATTACATTTTCTGCTGTCTTTTATAACACTACCAAGTAATTAAACTTCAGTTCCTGCTTGATTTTGACATCCCCTATATGCAGTTCACAGCTTGTGTTGTCTGTTTTGCTGACGATCTTGCATAATGTTTTCTTACAGTTAATAGTCCATAATAATTCAGGATATGGAATTAGTAAAGACTAAACAGTTAAAATATCTTAGTGCATAAATCAGACAGAGAAATTTAGTATAGGTTATAAGGAAATTGACCAACGTCTCTTGCAGCAGAGCTAACAGTTGATTCAATATATTGTTGTCAGTTTAGTACTACGTTTAAATTCATAAACTCTAGATACCATATTGAAGAGCTCACCCAAACAATTACTATGAAAGTATTTATAGAAAAGACACATGGGGCAACCTTATGGCAGTGGGAAAGTGACTGAAGCCAAGATGCCAGATCAAGACCAATAATATTGCTGATTCTTCTTTGGATTTTATCAGGAATCTCTAGATATATAGATGGAGCATTTGACCATATGTGGCAGCAATATTCAAAGCATGGATGAATGGTAAACCCTATAAATATGTAAGATAGATTCTGGAGAGAAAAATTGTCTAGCATGAAACAGTGAACCAACTTTCTTAGCAGTGGACCTCACAATTATTCAATATAGTCTTTCCATTTCATATCAGCCAAGAATGTTAAACTGAAAACATATAATAAGTCACACTTCTGAAGATTAGCATCAGGTTCTCTCAGACAATAGAAATAGGAAAGAAAAAGTTTGTATATGATCAAGAAATGATACAAAAATTATTGACAAGATGGCTCAGTTTTATTTCTAATACTTAACTAGTCTCTTGTAATCATTATCATTATCAGTTCCATGACCAGGTGTGATTGTCAATGCTCAGCTCCACATATTCATTCATGTGTAACATGTCTTGGGCGAGTAGAACTGGTGAAACCCATCCGTCTCTGGATCATACCACAGCTTATGTCCTCCAACTTGAAACCACACCTTGGTCACATATATGCGGCCATTGATTCAATCAGAACCTTTCACCCTAACTATTGGCTTCAGTCTAGGAAGTCTCCGCCCATTGATACTGGGTCATCCTTGCATTGGTTGCATAGCTCTGGGCCCAGTCAGGTTTATAGCCATATAGCATTGAAACACCAGTTCTGGTATGATCACTGAAGTTAAGCATCATCTAGCCTGGTCTAGATGGGTAACTGCTTGGAAATACCAGATGCTGTAAGCTTTGATGTTTGAGTACTGAAGTGAATAACAGCTCAAAATGAGGAATCCAAGAGTTAATTTCCAATTCCACTTGAGTTCATTACATTCACTTACCTGTAAATACCCTTAGGAAAGATATGAATCCACCTCTTCTCCCCCCAGCTATGGGTTAATTAGTATGCCTTTTATAAATAAATCATTATTATCTACAAAAAAAAAATTCTTAGAATCTAAAAACATTTTCTGACTTTAAATAACGTACAAAAGGTTGATATGCCATAAAAAACAAATCAATCAATTCAAGCCCATCTAACCTTTTGTGCTAGATGTCTGTTGATTCAACAGGTCTTGATTTTAACCCTCCTTGTTTTCTAGCCACTCTTTTTCACCAGAAAAGACTGGTGGGGAAACCAGTTTAGTCACTAATGACCTGACTGTGTGGCAATTAGTATTGGATTACATAGTACCAGAAGCACTTTTAGAGTAACCTGGCATCTCATGCAGTAGTCATTCATAATATAAATGAATTTAAATTTGATCTTTATTTCTAGAATGTAGCCAGGATGCTGTATTAAATAAGAATTACTCCAGTTCTTTCCAGCTTTTCAAACATATTGGATTGTAAGCTTGTCAGATACAATTTACAAACAAAATTAAGTCAGTTTGCTTCTCTCTTTGGAATGCTATATAAAATGGTAGGCTTGAATAATCAATTGCAAAAATTGTTTCCCTAATTCATAATTGAAAGATTTAGACAATTTTCTCATAAAACAATTAAAAACAGAACAAAAAAAAACACATTGTTCGATTTCTTTTCTTGAGTTAATGCCCTTATTTTCAGCTTTTATAAGAATTCAATGATAAAATGAAAGAGTTCTATCAATCCTTATGTCTTTTGAAAAATAAATAAAGGAATATATTTTAATAAAAGAAATTATTTTCTTCTTACATTTCTTTTTACTCTTTCTCTTTTCCATATTTATATTTATGGATATTCTTAAATAGTTTTCATGTCTGTTCAGTTGATTTTTATCAAGTTTGTATCTATTTTACTTTTTCTTTCCTTCTCTTTTGTTTTTTAAGTTTTCTTTTATTGTCTCATGAATATTCAGTCTCTCCCTTTTTTATTTTCATTCTTCATTTTCTGTTTTTCCTCACCTGATTTTTGTTTGTCTGTCTTCTTTTTTTTTCTTTTGCTTTGTGTTTATTTTTTTTTTTTGCTTTTTTTTTTCTTTGCTTTGTCTGTCTGTCTTTTTTTTTTTTTTTTTTGATCATATTCCTCTCCTCCATCCAATTGTTTCTTTCTTTCAGATATTCCCTTTTCTTTGTGGATTGTTTCTTTCTTTTCTTTGCTTTGTCTGTCTGTCTTTTTTTTCTTTACTTTGTGTTTATTTTTTCTTTGCTTTGTCTGTCTGTCTTTCTTTTTTTTTTTTCTTTGCTTTGTCTGTCTGTCTTTCTTTCTTTTTTTTTCTTTGCTTTGTCTGTCTGTCTTTCTTTTTTTTTCTTTGCTTTGTCTGTCTGTCTTTCTTTTTTTTTCTTTGCTTTGTCTGTCTGTCTTTCTTTTTTTTTCTTTGTGTCTGTCTGTCTTTCTTTTTTTTCTTTGCTTTGTCTGTCTGTCTGTCTTTCTTTTTTTTCTTTGCTTTGTCTGTCTGTTTTTTTTTTTTTTTTTTTTTTTTGCTTTGTCTGTCTGTCTTTCTTTGTCTGTCTGTCTTTTTTTTTTTTTTTTTCTTTGCTGTGTCTGTCAGTCTTTCTTTTTTTTTCTTTGCTGTGTCTGTCAGTCTTTCTTTTTTTTTTTTCTTTTTTTTTTCTTTGCTTTGTCTGTCTGTCTTTCTTTTTTTTTTTTTTTTTTTCTTTGCTTTTTGTCTGTCTGTTTTTTTTTTTTTTGCTTTGTCTGTCTGTCTGTCTCTTTTTTTTCTTTGCTTTGTCTGTCTGTCTTTTTTTTTTTTTCTTTGCTTTGTCTGTCTGTCTTTCTTTTTTTTTCTTTGCTGTGTCTGTCAGTCTTTCTTTTTTTTCTTTGCTTTGTCTGTCAGTCTTTCTTTTTTTTTTTTTTTCTTTTTGCTTTGTCTGTTTTTTTTGTCTGTCTTTCTTTTTTTTTTTGCTTTGTGTCTGTCAGTCTTTCTTTTTTTTTCTTTGCTTTGTCTGTCTGTCTTTCTTTTTTTTTCTTTTTTTGTTTGTCTGTCTGTGTCTTTTTTTTTTTCTTTGTTTTGGATTGTTTTTTCTTTTCGTTTTTCTTTTTTTTTTTGTTTGTCTGTCTTTCTTTTCTTAGCTTTGTCTTTCTTTTTTTTTTTATATTTTGTCTGTCTTTCTTTTCTTTGTTTGTTTGTTTGTCTGTCTTTCTTTTTCTATCTTTCTTTCTGTCTTTTTTTTTGCATTTTATTCATGTTTTTTTCAAAGTGTCTTTTTTTCTAAACAGTTGTCTTCTTCTGTAACTTTTCTTTGTCTGCCTGTAATTTTTTTGTTTTTTTTAGATTGTCTTCCTCCTCCTCCTCCTTTTCTTTCTTTTTTTTTTTTTTTCTTTTCTTTCTTTTTTTTTCTTTTTCTTTCTTTCTTTTTTTTCTATTCCTGTTTTATTTCTTCTTTGCATTCCTCTTTATCATGCATAGCTAAAATTTCTCTTTATTTTTCTGCCTCTGTCTTCTCTTCTTCTTACTTCAAACCTCTCCTTTCTTTTTCTCTTATTACTCTCCCCACTCTCCTCTTCTTACATTTGCTCTTTTTCCACTACCCTTCTTTTTTTTAGTTTTCCTCTTCATATTTTTGTTCTATCACTTCTCTTAGTTTTTACTCTCTCTTTTACTTTTTCTCTCTTCACTCATACCTCTCCTCTTCATAGTTTTTACTCTTCCTTTCTCTATATTCATTCCTTCTACTCTCTATTAATTCCTGTGTTCAATAAATGGGATATTTCCTCTTATCTCTTGTTTTTCTTCTTTTCACGTCCTTTGCATGTTCTAGGACATTTTAAATTTGTTATCAGTATTCTTATTGGTTCATCATTTCATGCTACTCTCTCTTCTTCCATTTCATCTCATATATATATATATATATATATATATATATACATAATGAAATGGACAAAGTCCGACAATTATTTTAAGACATTTTATGTTTATATATTCTTTTTTATAGATACAAATATTTAAGTAAATGCTCTGTTTATAATAAACAGTATTAAACAGCATTTACCAGCCTGAATGTCCGAGAAATTTTCACAGAAAATATTCGTCCTCCGACAAGATCCTATACAGTAAATTCGACCTTCCTAACCGAACGCTCCTCTGTGGCCAAATTGGTAAAGGCATGTCAAGCTAAATGAAAGTTCCGTATATTCTTATTGGTCTGATTAGAAAGGAATTCTTGAATTTGTTAGCGAGGTGCTCTGGCTCAATACACAGTATTACTTCCTCAAAACATTTGAGGAGGTCATGCTGCCATATGGTCAAGAGTGTGGCTTCTGGAAGACCCTATGTCTGGCAACAGGACTCTGCACCATGCCACACAAGCATGAGAACCCAGTCATGGCTGTCAGACAATTTCTGTGATCATATCACCCTTTACATCTGGCCACCTAACTCCCCAGACTGCAACCCACTTGATTATTATGTCTAGGGTGCAGTTGAGCAAGTTTCCAATAAAACTCCTTGTAACACCAAAGATGAACTGAAGGCAAGGATTATGGCAGCATTCAGCAAGTTAAATAAGGAGACTGTCCAGAAAAGTTGCAGGAGATTGTGAAGTTGAAGGCTGTGGTTGATGACAGTTTATCCATCACACCCTATATATTATAAAATGTAGTCTTAAGATATGCTATATTTATTGGTAAAAGTTCTGTTTCATACTGAAACACAATCTTCAAGTGCTTTCTTTCTCTCTCTTTCTCTATTCATACATACATATATATATAAAGACAGGTGATGGATTTTTTATTCATTAATCCAACAGTGAGCTGAGTTCCAATTTTCATTGGCTTTGTTATATTTACTTAGACACAAATACTCTTGGGAAAGGCATGAATCCACTTCTTTTCCCACCAGCTATGGGTTAATTAGTAAGATTTGTATCACTAAACTATTATTATTTTAAAAAAAAAATTCTTACTTATAATCTAAAAATATTATCTGGCTTTAAATAACCTGCAAAGGGTTGATAAGCTGTAGAAAATGAATAAATCAATCAATCAATTGCATGTTCTTGGAAGATCTTGGTGCCTTCATACATATATACATATATTTTTTTTATATCATTTCACCCCAAGCAACATGGAAATGCCACTAGTACGCATGAGTTACAGGTTGTGAAAGTGAGAGAAAAGACTGAATATAAAAGGATTGAGGAAAAGACAAAAGATGAACGGGATTCAAGAAGATAGAAGATGGTGATTGATGTTCAATTTAAATTTTTGAAGATTGTAGGTATCAGGGAAGCAAGTAAATGGAAGGGAGTTCCACAAGTGGGAAGTGCAAGAAAAGAAACTGTTAGAGTAGAAGTGTGTAGAACAATCACGTTGTCAAGATAAACACTCAGTTTTGGAACAAGCTGAGAAAAGACCCCTCCACCTTGAGAAAGACGGCTATTTATGGTGCCATGGAGCATCTCATTGTGCTCAAGTGGGATAGTCCATTGGTTGGGCTGTGATTGGCTGCTGGTACATGAGTGGAGGTATTTCTGTATAAATACCAGCTTGATTCCAGGCAGTTTGCAGGGTTTGTATTGAGTTACAACCTGCTTTATTTTTGTCTGCCAGCTGGATGCTAGCTAGGACCCTTACGCCAGTATGTGTTGTTATTCTATTGTTATTCTACAAAGTGATGGTTGTATTAAGCTATTTCAACAGTAAATGTTCGGGAACTAAATGTCAATCTAGTAGCACGCTTAAATCCATTATGTCAGGGCACCAGGGAAAAAAGCTCATCAGATCAGTTGCCATGAAAATATTTGTAGAAAAGACAAAGGAACACCATGCCACATCACTGAGAAAGTCACTGTGACTGAGATGCCAGGTCAGGATCAATAACATTGCAGATCATTCTTTGGATTTTGTTGAGAGCATTGAGATGAATAACAGGAGCACCAGACTAAATATAGCACATACTCGTACATCTATAATATACATATATTTTGTTTTTTAAGCATTTCCCCCAAGCAAAGCATGAGGCCACTAGCACACAAGGCGTTACAGAGAGTTGGGGCAAGAGCTAGGAGGGATGATGAAGAGAAGGATAGGGGATAGATCAAGACATCTGGAGACATCAATTGACATTATATTTGAATAGTTGGAGATTATAGCTATCAGGGAAACAAGAAAGGGGGAGGGAGTTCCACAGGTGAGAAGTGCGAGACATGAAGCTAATGAAGTAGAAGAGATGGCCACATTTAACAGGTTCGACAGTGAAAGGGTGAGAGTGAGATGCCAGCTTAGTTGAACGCTTAAATTCATGAAGTCTGGGAACCAGCGAAAGCAGCTTATCAAAGCAGTTACTGTGAAAGTATTTGTAAAAAAGACAGAGGGAGGCGACAGCACATAATAAATATGCATTTTTTAAAGAACAAGCATTAAAGACCATAAAATGAATTTCCAAAACAACTCTCAATACAGACTACTCAATACAAGTAAAAATAATATTTGAAAAATTAGCAAATACATTCATGAAAATATACGAGATGCTAGTTTAAAAAAATAAAAAAGAGGAATGAGTGTATATTCATCCAAAAGACATGATGATTTTTACTCATCCATTGCCAAAGAATTGCTGATGAATGCCATCAGGTTAGCCAAATAATATTGTAACATCAGTGACAAAGAAATTAAAATAATAGAATCATAGGGCAGGTGCAAAAACCTATGCTGTATCATAATGGATGTCTGTGGACAAAAAGAAACAATGAAGAATTCAACATTGCCATTGAAGCATATGAGTCAGTAGAGGCATGTGAGGTAGTAAGGATATTCGTAATGTGGCAACTGAGATATTTGTTCTTTGATCTGCTTTGTGGAACTGACTTTGATCACTACAATCTTAACCAGTTCAAGAATAGAGGTAATAATTATCTTCCCTACATATCCCCATAACCTGTGCCTCTTACTTTGTAAGTCTGTACCTCGAGTGGCTCTTGTACCTTGTATAGAGTGAACATCATTGTAAAAAAAAAATACATACATGTCGTCTTATTCTTTTCCTTCTCTTCATATCAACTTCTCTTGTGTTCTCTTCTGATTTTTATTCATTTTTTTTATTTTTATTTATTTAAAACTACAGTGAAATGTCTCACATGTCGAACAAATCAGTTTTTGAACAGAATATTCGAGATGAAAATGCCTCAGTTATCAAACAAAATTTTGGTTGTCGAACAACATTGCCAAACTGAGTTGAAACAAGTTAACACGAATGGAATCATTTTAGTCACCACCCCCAAATGTTGTATACATTTGTGTGTTATGCTGTGCTTTTCTTTTCCAATTTTATTGTACCATGCCTTTTTATTTCTCTTCATTAGTCCTCAGTCATGGCTCCAAAGAAAACTAGTAGTGATACTAGTAAAGGAATAAGAAAAGATGAGAGAAAAAAAAGTTGATGATATTGACTCATCCTAGTCAGTTTCGTATGGCAAAATCAACGATTCTTATAAATAAAAATAGACGATCATGTTTTTCCTTCCCCTTTCCAAACAATAACATCTCTTTATTTCCCCTCCCATTTACACCACTAACTCTCCTACATACAGGTACGGTAAAATTGAAGTCTTCGTTTATATTTTATCTGTTTAGTATCAGATTTATTTATTTATTAGATTTAATGATTTTTATTAGTTTTGTGTACAAACTTGTGCACAAAGTACTGTTGTTAAAGTTTAAATACACAGTCATCTAGGGACCAGGAATGAATTAATCCATTTTACATTTATTCCTATTGGAAAAATAGTTTTGGTTTATGAACATTTCGAGTTACGAATGGGCTTCAGGAATGAATTAAATTTGTGAACCGAGGTTTCATTGTATATTAATTTATTTTCTAATTATTATTTTTTTTCACCTTCTCAGCTTATCTTATTATCCTCTCTCTCTCTCTCTCTCTCTTTTTTTTTTTGGTTAATATTCTTCATTCTTGGTTTTCTTCTTCCTTTTTTCTTTCTCTTGCATTCAGTTATTTTTCATTTTCTTATTTTTCCTCTTTCATGTTTTTCTCTTCTTTCTTCGTTCTTGATTTACTTTTTGCTTTTCATTCCATCATTTAACAATAGTATTTATTATTTTCTTTTTTATTTTGTTTTCATGTCAATTTTAAAATTTTTCAAAAGCAGACCAAAATTATTTTTTTTCTCCTCAGTCTTCATTTATCCCAGTCACGTACCACTTAGTCATTGCTTACCCTCTCTCACTGTTGGCTTTTAGCCAGAGGCTAACAACACATAACAATGCCTCCTTCTTCGTCTTTTCAGTACTGTCACAAAATTAAGAAACCTTCTAGAAAATATATTTAAAGTAATGGTTCCCAAACTTTTTTGGATTACCGCCCCCTTGCATACCAAAGAGCATCCCTTCCCTCCCCTATATGTATAGACATAACCTTAGCTACCACCCTCTCCTTGATGTATAGTCAACCTTTGATTGGAATTTCTTTGTGCTAGTATTTCATGTCAAATGTGTATTTTAGTATTTCCCATAATAATTGTTCTATAAATGGGATGCGCCATAAAGTGATGGCAAGATACACTTCAGGTATAATGTGTGTGTGTGTGTGGGGGGGGGTTAGGGTTCAGATAAGCCCCTGCCCCACTCTGGTTGCCCACTTTTTTTTTTCACCGCCTTCCCACTTCATCTTTCCCCTGGTATCATCCACTTTGGGAATCACTGAATATGTAATTCCTATCCCTTACTTTACTAATTTTTCTTCCAGCATTCTTCTTACTCAATAAAGAGGAAAAATAAAACATAAAACTAAAATAAAAAGCTGTTAAAATCTTTTTTTCACTGCAACTGCAAATAAAAAAAATAAGCTAAAAGACTGAGAACCAAAGTTCAGATCAGTGTTGGTCATGCTTATAAAGATGATGTTTGAAATTATTTTGCTTAAAAACATTATTTAGTCTACAGTTCTACATAATCTTTTCTTATACTTAAAGATTTATTATTTCACTTTCACTTTCACTTTCATTACTTTGCTTTCTTAACTTTGTTTTGATTTTTATGCACTAACCTCTACTTATTTGTATTTATTTGATTATTTCATTGTTTTCATGTTTGCTTTTATTCTTGTTAGATTTTATCTTTCAACTTCTGCTTGAGTTAATTTCCAGTTTATCTATATTTCAATTTTTGAATTTTATTCTCATTAAAACTTCATTTCTGCTAATTTTTTAATTCTTCTTTTGTCACCTTTTTATTCCTTTCTGAAATTTCTCCCTATTTTACATTTTTTAATTCATTTTAATTTAATGTGTTTATTTTTTATCCAAAGCTGCTAAACTTTTCATGTCTATTCTTATACTGATATCTGATGTTCATCTTATTTAAATTCAGTTTTCCTTCTTTCAAATCTGTTTATGTCTGAACTCAAAATTATCGTACATTGTTATTTCTGCTTTCATATTCCTCATAATCAAAACTTCTCTTTCGTTTTAAATTTACTTTCATTATCTTTTCTATTTCATTCAACCATCAGGTCTGTTAAAAAAACTCCCTTTTTAAAATCTGTATTTCACTTCTATCTTCAGCCTATTTGAATCTTTTATCTATTATGACACTTATATTACATTACAATTTTGTCTTCCAACCTTTCTTTTTTTTTATACTTCGTTCTCATTGCATTTCTGCTTTTAACATCATTGGTCCTTTCTTTAAAATTTCCCATTGATTCTACCTTTATTTTTATTCTTGGTTCTATTTCATTCAACTTTCACTTTTACCCATTTACTTTTACTTTCACTTTCACTTCTAATTTAATTCAGCTTCCATCTTCCCTTACATTCACTTTTACTGAGACTCTATTTTACTTTGAATGCTCATCCAATTTAATTCACCTTCTCCTGTCACTTTCCTTTTATATCGTACTCTTACTCTTCCCTTTAATTTTATTTCCATATACATGCCTTGAAATAAGTCCTGTTAATGGAATGCATCCATTGATTGCTCAACATTTGAGCCTGTGTTCCCTGATGGAAATCATTTAATGCATTTAGACCCAATCTAATGTCATTCAACTACACGCTTATCTCTTGATATACGCTATAGATTCCTTGTATTTATAATCTTCCGTTGGCGGCTGACTTTACCAAAACACAACTGCTCTTAATTTCCATACTAAATAATCAGATAATCCTGTCCATTAGCATTTATATTGTGTTTGCTAAACACACTTTTAGTGCTCCTTCATTCCTTGCAGGAAACACTGTAATCTTTGTTGTTTCTGACATTATGTTTTGAATTGGCTAATCAAAGACCATTTTCATCATCGTGTCAGTAATTTTGAGACAATACATATTGCACTCTCTGCTTCAGCAGCGTCACCTCTGCTGTTGTTTGAAAAATTACATTTCAAAACAGTTAAATTATTTCATTATATTAGCTTTTCTTCAAGTTACATTTGATAATATTCCATTTGAATTGAATGTTATTGAATGTGTTGTTTGAATAAAGTTTCAACTTTATTGTCCTTGTGATAGTTAAAGTTTCTCAAACTTCAGCAAACATTATGTCCAGGTTTTCGTTAAGGACTTTCAGTAATTATTCAACTTTTTCCTCTGAATGCTGGCATGTCTGGTTTCTTTGTGCTTTTAGCCTTACATAAATTGTATTTGTGAGGCTTGTGGTGACATCATGTTGAAATGTTGGTTCCTGTACGATCACCAAAGTTAAGCTACGTCATGCCTAGTCAGTAACTAGATGGGTGACTGCTTAGGAGTACTAGGTGCTATAAGCTTAGATGAGTGGGTGGTGTAATGGATATTGACTTGGAATTGCTAATTGGAAAGTCAAGTTTCCTTCAGAAAGGTATGAATCCACTTCTTCTCCCCCAGCTATATGTCAATTAATAAGAATTATACCACTAGATCATTATTATCACAAAAAACAAATTCTTAGAATATAAAGATATTTTCTGGCTTTAAATGACCTGCAAAGGGTTGATAAACTGTAGAAAATGAAAGAATCAATCAATCAATATATTTGTGTGGCATTTCCTTTTCAGTTATTTCACATTGGCTGTGTAATATTATTGTCATATTTTTGACAGCATGATTGATTGATTTGCTTTTTTATGGTCTATCAACTTCTTGCAGGTTATTTAAAGCCAGAATATATTTTTAGATTGTAAGAATTTTTAGGAGATAATAATGATTTACTGATGCAAGGTCTACTAATTAACCCATATCTGGGAGGAGAAGAGGTGGATTCGTACCTTTCACAATGGTATTTGCACATAAATGAATACAATGAACCTGACTAGAATTGAAACATGGTTATCCAATTTGGAGCTGTTATCCATTACAACTCCTGCATATCCAAAATTACAGCACTTGCTACTCCTAAGCAGTCGCCCATCTAAGTATTGACAAGGCCTGATGCTGCTTAACTTCAGTGATCATATGGGAACTGGCATTTCAATGTGATATGGCTATAAGAATTTAAATTAGTATAATGCAAAATGTGTAATAATAGCCTTAATTTCACTGAAACTAATGAAAATTCTACTATTTTTATTATTAATATTATGTAATGTCACACTCTACAAGTGCTACTGGTACCATGTAATAAATACTCTCTGCCACATGATCAAGTCATCAGCAACTAAACAGGCTTTTCTAGTGAGAAGGGTGGTTACTCAACAAGCAAGATTAAAAACAAAAGGCGGATGAACCTTTTTGTAGGGTCGTCACCCATTTGACAGGACTTCATAGCCATACATCAGTGTGGTAATGACACTGCATTGCTGGGTGGAGGGATTTCCTATACTGAGGTCAACAGCCAGGCTGGAGGGTTTCCTCCAATGAAATTAACAGCCATGTGTTTGTGACCAATACAAACCTTCATGCTGGAGGACATTGGCTGTGATTTAACTTGGGGAGGGTTGACCTCTGACAGATTTTCTTGCCCAAGACACACAGTGCTTTGTGGCTTTCAATCCATATATCTGGAGGGAATTGGTCATGTGTGCAGTGATTTTGACAACCACACCTAGACTAAATTTTCCATATATAAAATAGTTATTTATTCCATTTTGAACTCGTCAAATTAACATTGGCTGTATACAAGGGTATATAGTTTCAGGTTTTTCTGCAAACATTTGATCTTCTTGTGAGTGTGTAAAGGATTCTGCTTCTCAGCTTGTAATATTGGTTTTTATATAACTTCCTGTTATCTGGTTGTCTTCTGTGAGTATATCAGCTGGCTTCACTTCTTTATTTATGTTGATTCACTAACAACTTTGATGCCCGATTCTGCACTTGATGGCTTAGAGGACACCTTCTAGGTCAACCTGTGGAGTTCCTAGGTCATTTGGAGGCAGCACCATGTGCAAAACCTACTTTGGAATCTCTTTGGGTGAACCCGATACATATTGGGGTCACCACGGATCAACTCTTCTAATATCAAAGGTTCCTGCTGGATATTAAATTCAGTTCAGATTTCTGGTATTTCCTGGTGTGAATCACATACTACATATAAAATTTCTATCTTTTACTAAAATTAAATTTCAGCTTCATAATAATTCTTGTTGTTAAGTGTAGTAATCTGAATCTCCAGGGCAACACTAAGGCTAGTTGTGGCACCTGTTATCCTTCACCTGTTCTGCAAGCTGTTATACTTTCATTATATTATCTTTAGTTACAGCTATGTTTGGTACTATTTCTTTTGAGGAAAAATTAGCTGAAAAGCAAAACAATATTTTAGATCATCCTGGGTATGATGATAAACTACATCTGGCAGCAAAGCCTCTGATCAGGAGGTTTTGAGGAGCATAGAATCACCTCTTAATTGCTGTTGTTCACAGGTCCATATTGATCCAAGGTGATAGTACCTATTAGGGTACCAGCAATGAGCAGATAGTGAACCCCCAAACTGGGATCAAGACATGAAAATATAAAAATACAAAAAACAGAAAAATTATCAGCAATTCATTTACATAGTAAAAAAATCAAAAAATTACCAGCAATACATTTTTAGAAAACAGAAAAAAATTACCAAAGCTCTCAAATGACCCATAAAAAGTTGATATGCCATTAAACAAACAAACCAAACCAATATTTTAGAGATAATGTTGCATTTATTTTTATATAAATCTAAATCTAATTATGCTTTATTTTGGTAAATAAAATTAAGTTTATCGATATGTTCACTGCTACCTTGAATATTTGAACCTTCATATAATACCACCGTGTGTTTCATTATTGACCTCGGCAACAACAACGAACAGAGGAGCTGCCAGTGGGCATGTAAGATGGAATAAGCAAGCCTTTTACAACATCCTATCTGGCACTTCCAAAAGGGAGGCACAGTGGAGTAATGGATAGTGGCTCAGATTGAGGAATTGGAGAGCCGAGTTTGAATTCCAGTCAAATCCATTACTTTCACTTATGTGCTAATACCCTTGGGAAATGTATGAATCCTCTTCTTCACTCCCTTACTAAGGCTAAATAGTAGGATTGAGTTAGAACTTTGGGTGGCAACCAGTCTAGGAGAAGGAAAAACTTTGAATTCAAAACCAGCAAAGAGAGGGTTGGGTTCACTCAGGCTATCTTGCCCAAGAAACACCACTTCTACCACGGCTGCTGTATACATAGCCCTACGACCCTGATGAGTCATGGGATAAAAAAAAATAATAGCATCAATGATTTTGTTAATTGCTATTAAAAATTGCTATATAAGATTTCTTATGCTTTATTTTGACAAATAAAATTAAGTTTATCGATATGTTTATCTTGGATATTTGAACCCTCATATAATACCATATATATTTTTAATTTACTAGTTTTCGCTAAAGCTACCATTAAAAATTGCCATTGGAAACAATTTATGTCTTATGATTGTAAATTCAATTAAATTATTATTAATGTTAAAATTAATTATTAAATTAAATTAAATTATATTTATTAATCTGTTCACTGCTTCTTTGAATACTTGAACCATTACATCACATCACATATCACCTATTTTTTTATAAGTATTACGGTGGAGTAATGGATAATGGCTTGGATTGAGGAATCAGAGAGCCAACTTTGAATTTCAGTCAAATCCATTAGATTCACTGATGTGCTAATACCCTTGGGAAGGTATGAATCCTCTTCTTCTCCCCCTCAGCTATGGGTAAATAATGGGACAGACTGGGTTCTGTAGCCTTCGATGGCAACTGGTCTACTACAGAAAGAAATGGCAATCTACTGTGGGAAAAAATCTGTCTCGTCAGTCATGTATCGAAGGATGCATGATTGCCTAAGCGTGTATCACACATGACCCATAACTGACTGAATGACCATGGTAATGGTAATATTAGCTATTTACTGATAAGGAAATACTTGGCATTCATTGACTAAACAGGTTGTACTATATTCTGTTGAAATTTATAAAATCTTTCTCTTAAAAGAATTTTTCAAGAAAATAGTTTTTTCAAGTCCAGGAACTATTATCAGTTTTTCTGGTATTGATGGGTTTTCCTTCCTAGCCATTTGTTTGAAGTAGTGTGGAATGTCAGTGTGTTCGTTATAACCTCTTTCAAGTTCTTTACCGCAAGGAAAGTTGGTCCTCTGTGTCATGCCAGAAAGTTTTTCTTGCTTGAGTCCATCCTTCAAATCTATAAATCGCTCTTGCATAGAATACTGTCGCTATATATATGGTATGGAGCCCCTGCTATTCCTCTTAAGGTCCTCGATAAAATCCAGAGATGGATATGCAATGTGATTGGTCCTGATCTGGAATCTCGTCTACAGTTACTTTCTCACAAATGTGATGTCGCTTCTCTGTCTTTTCTACAAATACTTTCATGGTTACTGCTATGACAAGTTACTTTCGCTGGTTCCCAAACTACATGAATTTAAACGTGCTACTAGGTTGGCATCTCAGTCCCACCCTTTCACTGTTCAAACAGCCATCTTAGCCATCTTTTCTACTCCAGTCTCACACTTCCCGTCTGTGGAACTCCCTTCCTCTTACTTGCTTCCCTGATAGTTATAATCTCTAAATATTCAAATGCAATGTCAATCGACATCTCCAGATTCCCTGTCCTTCTCTTCATCCTTTCCTCTTTCATGCCTCTTTACTCTTGCTCTCACTCTCTGTAACCCCTTGGGTGCTAGTGGTGCTCCCGCCTTGCTTGAGGTGAAACAAAACTGTTTTCTATTAATCATCTGAGAAAACCCTTTCTGCCTTCCATCAATATGGCTAATGATAACTTCCAGGAGATTGACTCACTAAGAATTCTTGAGCTATTGTTTTCTGCAGCTGGAAAGATTATATTGAATCAATTGCTAGGTCTGCTGCTAGGAAAATTGATTCTCTTTGTTTGTGTGAGACAATTTTTTTCACCTGAACCTATCTTACATAGCAATAATTCTACCATTCATCCATATTGCTGCCCCATATGGTCTGATGCTCCTGCCATATATTTAAAGATCCTTGATAAAATCCAAAGAAGAATCTGCAATGTTATTGGTCCTGACCTGGCATCTTGCCTTCAGTCATTTTCCTATCACTGTAATGTAATTTCCTTGTGCCTTTTCTATAAATACTTTCATGGTATTTGTTCTTATGAACATTCTTCTATTGTACTTAGACTTTATGTATTTAAGTGCAGTACTAGATTGGCGGATGGTCTCTTCACAGTTGAATTGGCTAGATGATGTAAATGTAAATTCTATGCTAATAGTTTCTGTTCTCACACTTCTCACTTGTGAAACTTTCTTCCAGATTCTTGCATTCCAGACAGGTTTGATTTTCAAAAATTTAAATGCAATGTCCGTTTTTATTTTCTGTCTTCTTAATTCCTGTTCTTTTATTGTTCTCACTCCTTAATAATGTTTTTCTTACATTCTTTCACACTCAGTAACCAACTGCATCTTAGTGGCCTTGTTGCCTTGCTTGAGGGTGAAATTATTAAAAAAAAAAGATTGAGTTTCTTCAAGGCTACATTAGAGTATTGCTCAATGGGCTGCATTTGTCTGTTGTTATTTCATTTTCATTACATCATCTTTTATAATGTGGTCTAATCAATGTCTCTCTTTTGGGGTTGTGAGTTTTTTTTACATGAGCTCATTCCTAATTTATAAATTCCTTAACAACACATGATTAGAACAACTACAGACATAACAACAATCTTCTGATCTTATCAGAATTGCAACCTCTTTATGTAATCTATGATATCTTGCATAGGTTTTATTAAAGCTTTTAATCCAACATTGCTAACCATATCAATCTCAAGTAAAATTTGATATTCATGTAAGAGAGTGTTGAAAATTTCTGAACAACTTTTCAAAATCTGACCTGGCATGAACAAATTTTTTAAGCCATTTAACCCTCAGAGAGTTTCAAACTAAACCCTTTATTTAATTAAAACAGATAGATTGTTCTTGTTTTGCTGTCCATGTCAAGGAATATCTTCTTTGAGATGTCTGAAGATATATATATCA